TTGATATTTGATGAGCAGAACGTTCAGGTCTCACCTGTGCTATTCTCCAACCTGCACTCCTGCACAGTTATCTTTACTCTCCGAGGCGATTGCTAAATACTCTGCATTCCTGCAAGAAAAACATGAGAAAAACAAAGATGACAGTTAGACACTTATCAGAGGAGGCGGGTTTCAGTCGGAGGGAAGATGAGAACATTTTAAAGCTGAAAAGATTCACATGGATGTTTTGTGACTTATTATTGGCGAGCATAAAGGTATTGGGTACGGAGCCCCTAAAGGGACATGGAGGGAAATAAATAAACTTTTGCGAGATCCCGCAAAACTTTTGCGAGATCTCGCAAAAAATGACCTTTTGCAAAAGTTTATTTTTTGCGAGATCTCGAAAAAGTATTTTTTGCGCGATCTCGCAAAAGTATTGCGGGATCTCGCAAAAGTTTATTTTTTGTGAGATCTCGAAAAAGTTTATTTTTTGCACGATCTCGCAAAAGTTTATTTTTTGCGCGATCTCGCAAAAGTATTGCGGGATCTCGAAAAAGATTATTTTTTGCGCAATCTCACAAAAGTATTGCGGGATCTCGCAAAAGTATTGCGGGATCTCGAAAAAGTTTATTTTTTGCAAGATCGCGCAAAAGTATTGCAGGATCTCGCAAAAGTATTGCGAGATCCCGCAAAACTTTTGCGAGATCTCGCTATACTATTGCGAGATCTTGCAAAACTATTGCGGGATCTCGCAAAAGTATTGTAGGATGTCGCAAGAGTTCTTTTTTTCCCCTCCATGTCCCTTTAGGGGCTCCGTAATTGGGGGCTGTTTGTAAAGTTAAGCAGTCAAAAATTAGGAGCAATATTTATGGTTATTCAGCATATTTTAAGAGAAAAAAAAAAAAAATGTTTGTGTCATTCATTCATTTATAAAAATCGTATTTTTTTTATATTTATTTTGGAGTTAAATATTTATTTTGCAAATAAATTTTTTTTTGTTCAATAAATATTTAGTTTTGGCTAAACATATAGTTTGCAAATATTTAGTTTCTGTAAAATCCAACCTTCAAAAATGACCTCCAAACTACGTGTTAAAAAAGGTGAATTTTCTGCAGGTTTGCGAGCGGAGATGGAAACACTCACGCCGCCTCTCGTAGGGCCTCCTCCCCGGCCGCAGCGATCTTTCTGTAGCAGTAAATCATCTCTATAAGGAGCCAGACCTGCAGCCCGATGATGGACACGTACATCATGACCTCCGACACGATGGAAGCTGTGGTTCTGTTGGCTGCAGACAGAAAAACGGAAACTGAATCACACACTTTGCAGGAAATCTGAAAAAACAGCTGGATCTAAAGAAGCCGACTGAAAATGCAGCCTGCGGCGTTTATTTCGAGGCTCGTGGCCCCGTCAGATAGGGGACTATATAGTGGACTTTATAGTCGGGGCGGATTTAGGAAATTTGGGGCCTTAGGCAGAGACAGGGGGCCCTCTGAATCTAGAAGAAAACAGAATTTTATTTTCACAATCCTGATGACTCATTTCATTCACCTGCCTCGCTCCGCCCAGTTCTCTTTACGTTCCTCTGATCCACCTGCTTCAGCCTCTATTTAACCAGCCTTCAGACCAGTCATCAGGGCCAGATTATTCAAGCCTTTGGTGAGAGTTCTCTAGCGTTCCCGAGTGATTCTGATTGCCTGATCCTGACCCATTCTGCCTTTGGACCTTTGGGCCCCCCACTCTGATCTGTTTGCCCGACCTGTCAATTCAGGCAAACAGATGAATTTCTGTTTCTTCTTTTATTTCCACCCAGTCATTTTTTGACATGCTGCATAATGTGTTCCTGTTTTGGTGCTGTAGAAATGGTCAACCTCATCTGAACCTTTAAAGCTACAGTGTGTAACTTTTAGCAACANGGTATTACTTTGCACATTGGGACTGACGTAAAAGCAGAAAACGTTTGTCTCCAAAGCAAGATTCCTAAAACTCCAAATCAGTCCAGCTGAACAAGCATCTCTTCCGATAATAAGTAGTAGTTTTGTCTGCAGTTGGAAGCAAACTTCTGAAGATTAGAAGCTAAGGAGGAGATTAGATTTTCAGATTTTCATGACCAAAATAAAGTCGTCTCATTTGACTAACCACACAGAGGACGAAAGGCCTCATGGCATTAGAATATTCAGGTATTAGAAGGCGTTTTTGAATTCTGACAAGGCCTTCAGATGAAATTATACTTCGAATAAGGTCAGACACACACAAGCTAAATGGAAAACATTTCAATTTCACACTTCATGTGTCCTTAAATATCCGCTCCCATATTTAACACGTGCACTGGAAAAAAAAACTGTCAGTCACTCACCGTTGCACTTCACCGCAGATACCTGAAAATGAAATTAATGGAAGCATCTTCACAGCACCTGAGCCAAAATGCATCTTCAGAGAAACTTGAGAAACATTTACCTCTAGAAATATGTCCAGAATTTACTTTTTCAATCCTCTTTAGATTAGATGAATTTGTCTTTCATTTGTTTGGGGAATGTTAAATTCAGCTTCTTAAGCTAACAGTGTTTCGACAAGTCATGAAAAGAAAAACATATTTAACTATTTGGGTTTGATAATATATCTGATCATTTGACTAGAGGAAATATTAAAATAAAACAAAAATTCCATTGAGTGAGTCACAGCAATGTTTTATATCTTTACACGTACTGTTCCTGTCAAATCCCAGCTGAATGATTTTATTCTGGTGGTTCAGTTGATTTTAACCACAGATGATGTGAAAAAGAACAACAACAAAAATAATACTTTGTTTGAGGCACTGGAGCAGGAACAGCTTATATTGTTTGTTTACTAAAAATAAAATCCCTCCTACTTTTATTTGCATGTGACATTTCAGAGCTGTGATTTTCAGATTAATTTTTGCAGTGTTTACGATAACTTTCCTCTATAATAGCTGCTTAATATTGTCTTTTTTAACTCTTGCATTCTGATCTAAGTCCAGTTGCTGGCCACTATGTCTTTGCAATATCTGAATAAAAACGATATAAAACAAATTTCTTGAAAAGATAATGGCTATATAAAACATTTGATAGTAAAACCTTTTTATTTAAACTTTTTGAGTAATGTATTTTTGATACAGAACGGAGGATTCTCTATTTCTAGCTAAAAACCGAATCAATCCTGTTAGCAATTAATCAGCTTTAATAGTTCAGCTCCTTGTAAAACAGAAACACAAAGGACAACTATGCATGCTGACAAAGTCACACCTAAAGACAATTTATAGGGGAAAAAAATCGAACCGTCCCATTTTTCACCTGTTGGAAGAAGCTGTGTTACCTTGAGAGCAGCCATGCATGTGTATTTATATTTGTTCCTACTTTCAGGGAAGGCAGATACTTTCCTGCAAACCTCTCTTGTCTATTATATGTTGTTGCTTTTTGGAGCCTCGCTTTGCAAACTGGAAATTATGATTTGGGCAGCTGGTCTTTCAATGCTATTAATCAAAATGTTCTCCATAAGAAGACTAGGCAAAGGAGAGCCTTCTCCCCCTGTTTGTCCACCTGGACAAAAATAATTAGCTTTAACTGAATCTTGCTCCCACAGGCGGTGATGTTTTTGGTCCTGTTTGTTAGTCTGTTAGA